TAGAGATTTATTTTATTTCATTTTTTATCTTAGATAAATAAAAAGTTCAAGATAATAAAGTGTAAATTGCTATTTTACAATTTTAAACATTATTTCCGTAAATGAAAATAAATTATTCAAAAAGGAAGGAAAGGAAGGGGAAAAAAACCCATTATTTTACAAGATATAAAAAAAACAGACCATTGTAAAATTAAAAACAAATGTAGTTTTTGAGATTCTTTAAGAGTTTCTCCTAGTAGATTCTCTGGTAGACTCTTAATTGGCTCATTAACCCTCTGAGCATATTTTTGGATACGTTTAACGGAATGGGTATATGTTAAAAGAAATTTTAAGAAAATTACAGAAAATAACTCTCGTCTGCGCATCCAATTTTCGTTGTGGGTCGCGCGCGAACATTTTGTACACCATTCCTATCTTATTTAGTTGTGTTCTCCTCCAAACACAAGAGATCGATATCTGAGTTAGATTGTAGCTCAGATTATCGCCGCCTAACTAGATCATGGTACGTCCCAGCAAACCGCTAAATCGAATTTCTACTGGTAAAAAAAAAGCACAGGTGGGGAAGAAGAAGAAAAAAAAAGAAGAAAAGGCATCACAGACTGCCGTTGGTCATCGGCTAGCAACTTGCAATTACAGATCTGGCAGAGACTACGTGGCCAATTGGCTCAGCCAAACCACGACCGAATGACGTGTGCGTGATGTCGCCTACCTTACTACACGCGTACTGTAATCACTTGGGGAGGGGCGGAATTGGTGGAAGGGCGTGTGTAATGAGACTTAAAACAGATCTCTGACATCCGAAGAAAAAAAGGGGGGAGAATGATATTCTACATTTTTGTTTCTTCTATCTGGTGTGTTTAATGTGCCGTTTTAAGCATTTTCCGAGCGCAGTTTCGTCTACTTTTTTAGAATACACGCGTGTGTATAGGCCTATATATATCCGGCGAACTTAATAAACAACAACTAATAAATAATACATTATAATTTTAATTATTCCGTAATAAAAGGCTATCGTCCGTGTGGCAAGTGATACATGATGGAAAAATGTTAAAAATATCTAACGACAATAGTCTATTAACTGCCTTATTCTATGCATTTACTTATCTTTTAAAGAAAATTTCAAAGTATTCTATTGTTTAAGAACATGATTAATAGATTATTCTTATTTTTAAAAGTAACTTTCTTACTCTTTTCGAATATTCATGTTTAATAGTAAAATATTAACAAGATTCTTTTCTACATTTAAAAAGAAATTCCTAAGCGTAATCTCCGAGAAATTAAAAAAAAAAAAGAGAGAGAGAGAGAGAGAGAGAGGAACTTTTATTATTTTTGGGGTTGTCTTTTAATTATTAAAATGAAGAAAATGCAAAAATACAATAAAAGACATATGAGAAAAATTAACAATTTAAAATTGTTTATTTCAGTAATTGAACCTTTTTTTCTTTGTCTTATTATTATTTAAAATTTTTTAATTGTATATTACAGAATAAATGTAGAAAAGATCAATTAACGTAACAAAAAGAAAACACAACAATCATTAGCAAGCTTAATAAAGAATTTTAAAAATTCAATCTCCATATATTTAAAACTGAAAGAAGACTTCAACTGAATATTAACTGCGTGTGTGTGTGTGTGTATGCGGCTTTTTTAAAATATTAAAATAACCCCTTCTATCTTTTCTATAGAATTTCTTTCTTCTTTTTCTCTTTTACCGACGAAAAATACTGAGTTTTTTATTCATTGTCTACTGTTTCTGATAATTTATTGTTTCTTGGGATAAATTTTCTATTCTAAAATCCCAATCGATATTACTCTAATCGGTATCGATTCAGTGCAAGGAGATACCGGGTATGTGGACCCA